CCCACAAGGTCATTCTTTTGTCATTCCCCTACAAGACTTTGTATACCCAGGGCCCCCCTTTTCCACTCCAATCTTCACTGCACCTTTGAATGCAGTCACAGGAGGAGGCAATGCTCGTGTAGCTGCCCAAAATCCAGTGTCACTGGTGTCTGCTTTCACCCAAAATTTATGGTGCGTAACAAAATCACTGAGTGGTGTCCATCACTGAGTAATTTGGGGCCTTTTTCTAATCTTCCTTCTTCCATTCCCTCATTCCTCAGGCATCCCTCCCTCCTCCTTCTATACTCTGTTCTCCTTCTAAGATCACACAGCTGGGCTTGTGCTAGCCCTGGCTGGCCTAGGAGCTGCTCTACACCCCTTCCATCCTTTTTTGTCCCAGAGTGAATCCTGTTCACACAGGTATTGGTTATCACCTAGCACAAGCTTAATCCAACCTGTGTTGCACTTGGCCCAAGGCCTAGGATTGAGGTTCCTAGAAGCCCTTAATGTTGGCTCACAGCTCTAGAAGTTCTCAGAATATGGTGCTTAGAACAGAGGTCTCAAGGTCAGTTTGGAAACTCCAATCTGTGGAGCATCTAAGGAGCTGATCTAAACTGTGAGTTGCCATGTGATGCATGTATATCTGGGTATGTGGGGAGACAAATGCAGATGCTCCTGTCTGGCACAATCCAAGTAGAAACAGTAACTTTGAAATAGCTCCTGTAGGATGAGCAGTATTAGATCTGGCCAGGGAACAAAGGCTGTGTGAACCAGACCTTGAAACAGGATCCTGAGATCTGCACCACACATTGGAAGAAAGGGAAATAAGGGTGCCCAAGCCCAACTGTGTTTGGGGACAAATTCTTCCCAACTGTTACAGTACATCTCTGTTCTGTCCCAAGACCAAATGACCATGTTATAAGGCCTGCAATTGTCATCACCCTGTTATTGGTATATCTCTGGGCCCCTCAGGAGTGGACAGCACATGGAAAGGAGATGGCCCAAGGCTCACCTGTGCATAATGTACCTCTCAGTGACCGACCCTCAGGTAAGGTGGTCATGGCCAGTGTCATCTCTTTTTTCTGTCTGGCCAGCTTGTTGCCAGGCACTGCTGTGTTCTCACTTTCTTGCTCACTGGATCATGAGGGAAATACCTAGTGTTTGAGTCCTGTTGTCCATGAGAATTTAGTCAAGTGTGGTGGAGTGTGATCAGCAATGGGGCAGCTGAGTTTTGATTGGCCAGGGAGTGGGGCAAGAATCCCATACATTTCCTTCCCCACCACATTGATGTGGGTATCTTGGTGTATAAAGCAGGGTTCCTTCCAATTAACTGTCACTCTTTACATCTTTCCATCTCACAATATTTACTGGAAAGTTGTCTGTATGTGACACAGTATGTCACATATAAAAGTATGTTGATAAAAGTGTATTGAAGGCCCTGCTGAGCATCTCTTCCCAGACCGCTGGGCAGCAGCTCAGCCTTCAAAACTTAGTAGGAGAGACAGGGGAGGAAGGAGGAGGAAGACAAGAGGTTTTCTCCTCGAAGACAGCAGTTACAGAGGGGCAAGGGTCACCTCCAGCTGTCACTGTTAGACCCACTTTTGAGCCTGTATCCTGAGGCTAGAAAGAAGACAGCAGTTTTGGCCACTTTATTAGAAATCAGGAGTCTGAGCAGAGTTACAAAGGCAGGACCTGGGAGCCAGACTGAGGGCTCCTACAGAAGACTTTCCTGTGTTTGGTTTTCACTTTCTGTTCCATGACTCAGTCAACACCAGCTGTTGGCAGTGTGGGTTCACTTGTCTCCCCAAGATTGAGCTGCTTCTGTAGATCTCTGGTACTCAGCACAGTTAGTCCTCTATGTGTCTCTGTTAGGTAGTGCATAGACAAAAGTATAAAAGTGCATATTCCTATGATAGGAAGATTAGCCCCAGAAATTCCATTAGCGAGGATGTAGATTGAGGACAGCTGATGCTTTGCTCTACAGGTTTGCATCCGCATGAAGGACCCACTGCTGGCCAGTTAGAGCATGTCCTTCCTGTGTGAGGTTTTTCATCAGTTGCTCTTTTTTTCTCACATGTCTGAATAGATTTTCTTGCTTTGTGTTTTTTTTACAGATTATTGTATATTTTTATTAGTACCATGTATGCTGATTACATTGGTGATAGGTCCATTGCAAATGTGATGCATAGAATGGAAATTAGGCCCCATCTTGTGCACAGTGGTACAATCCAAAAACCAGTGACTGTTCTCAAAGTTTTGTGCATTGAGCACACATCTCAGGACTAAGACATTGGCAACACAAGGTGCTGCTTTGTCTTGATTGTGCTTTCTTTATGACCAGTACAGTGGGTAATGATACAATATTTGGGAGCTTAGCCCTACCCTAAACTTAAAAGTCTGGCCAACCCCTAAATCTAACTCTAACCCTATAAAGTCATTACCAGAATTCTCTGGCCAAATTGAACTTTATGTCACTAATGTGGGAAATGTAATATAGGTTAATTATGAGAATATACAATCTGTGGTGGCTGGGATGGTGCAAGAGGGGAAAGAAATGAAAACACCATTGTGTAAACATTTGAAGAATATATTCTAGAAGTGGACCTTGGGGAAATTAGCTTCAAATTGAGAATGCACTGAATGCCAGCAAGTTGATTATTTTAAACAACATTAAAATCTTAAATTTTTTCTGTTTGTTCTATCACTAACATATCTCTGGTAAATAAGTGTAGCAGTGAATACAGTAATAAGTAAATCTGGAAAAGAGGGGAATGGAAGGTGTGGGTCTACCGCAGGTAGACCTCAAGAGATGACTCCTTAGTGGAGGCACCAAGAAGCTTAGCTCTCCAGCTGCTGGACAAAGGAATCCAGGTGCTGGCTCTTGCTCTGGGATCACAGCTGGTGAGGGAGTTGCAGGTGAAGCTGGCACAAGGTCTGCAGGTGCCACTTCTACATGGGCTGAACCTGGCCCTGTAGTTGCAGGAAGTGAAAAGATCGCCAACTGTCCATGGGCTTCCTGAGCAAAACCTTTCCACTGCCTGTCCAGGCAGCCATGTGCACCAATACAGCCCCAGCAAAGCCTCCCTGACTGTATTCACACATTGACTGCTGAGTGTGTCACGCTCTTGGGTCACCAAGCATATGGGCACTTTGTTGAGTTCCAAGGCCATCTCCTCCCAAAAGCCCACATCCAACGCTCCAGGGCTACTTATTTTAGAGCTAAGTCCCTGGTGGTTCAGGAGGCTCCAGCTGTTCCAGGAGAAGCTCAGCCTGGAGATCCACATGGGCATACATTTCCAATGGGGCATGAAGCACAGAAGACCTGGGGAGACAGGGAGCTAGCAGAGTGAGAGGGCTGGCCTTTCGTGCCACAATGTCTGCACAGCTCACTTGTACAGAGGGGTGCATGGGCCTCCTGTCCAGTCTGTACAGCATCCATCCCCATCCTCACCCAGCCATAATTGGGCAGTTACAGCCCAAGGAGCTCTTACAGGCTGACAGAAGTCTCAGTTGGTGGGAGTTCTTGCTCAATTGAATCACACTTCTGCTTTGTACAGGGAATCCTGACACAGTTTCTCCCTGCCCGTCCCCAGCGCAATTCAGTGTGGTGAACACAGAGAGTGGAATCTTCCCTGTATTGCCCTCAAGGACTCAGGGCTGCCTCTCCATAAATATCTGAGAAGTGAAGGATCAATCAGTGTCTGTTCTGTGTCACTGCAGTCTCTAGCTCAAGCAGTGATGCCTTGCCCAGTTCTCTTAGTCTCCATATAACTCCTTGTTTATGGTCTGTCCCCACATCTAGGGAGGCCTGGGGACCAGAACAATGGCCTTGAGGTGAGCAATATCTGTTCTGCTGCCAAGGGTGAGTCTGTGGCCTCCAAAGAACATCAAAACTCAAAAGGGCAGTGGTTGCACTGGCTCTGCTTATAGGATCATGGTCAATGCCCAGAAAAGTGTCTGCACACAGTGTGTCTTCATGTACATTTGTGGGTTGATGACATCTATCTGCTCTTCCATGACATCTGATAGCCACAGAAAATTTGCTGTTCTTAAGATTTCCTGTGTTGAACAAATCCTGAAGTCCACAAAGTGACTCTCCAATCTCCTTTCCAATGAACAGAACTGCAACCACCAATTATTGGTCAGTGAATGAGATGGAAGATCATCCATCAAAATCATCACAGCCTCCACAGTAGGTCTTCATGGGGCCAAGGCCACACTTGGCATGGAGCCCCCATTTCATCCTTAGTGACCCAAAGGTCTGAATCCACTCAGACCCCACCCATTCAGCATTGTAAACTAGGGTTGATTGAGGCCCTTGCATATAGCCAGGACCTGAATCCAAAGGTGGCCAAGTCCCACTGGGCTGCTAAGGTGAGAACTCCCCTTCTCAGCCTTGGTGCTTGTGGGGTAGAGATGTGATCCTTGGAGAAGTCCAGGGATCTGGATATATCTGGAGGATCTATCCAGAAGGCCAGCTCCTTAGGATCCTTCAGGCTGTGAGGCGATCTGCACCATGCTTCCTGTACAGAACTCTGCCAGGCTCTCTGCTGCCTGACTTCTGAGAATGTGGTGATACTGTGGCTGGATATGTAATTGGTGTCCTGCATGTGGCTTCTCAGGAGGGTTTGGGGATGAAACAAACCCTACATTCCAATTGGTCCACAGAGGCTCGTGGTAATGGGCTCACAGGATGGTCCTTGCAGAAAAGGAATTCTCATATTAAAAGTTACATTTCACAAGAGATCCTTAGGAATACTAGTATGCTCAGATCACCTCAATAGAGAGATTAAAAAGAAGTCTATGCATGAACAAAAGCTATGAGTCCTAAGACGGCCCCCAATTTTAGAGATGAGAAAAGGAGACTCATTCTAAATGTCCAGGTCCTTTAATGAGACACCACAGAATATTCTCAGTTTTCTGATGAAAAGTTCCCAGGAAGGAATTAAGTTCCTCTTCTATTGCCATGCGAATCTGAGCAGCTGTGTTCACTGATCTCTTCTTGTGCTTATTTTGCCCAGAGGCTCCTGCAAGAGTAATTGCAGAACCTGAAAACTCCCATGAGACAAGTGCCAGAGAAATGGACAGAGTGGATGACATTTGAGGTGAGCACATCTCTAGCAAGGTGATGCTGTGTAAGAGCTGGAGACAGCAGGGGAAAGACAGCTCACTAATTTTCCTTGGACAGCAGGCCCACAACTGACAATAAGGTGCAATGGCAGAATTCAATCATGACAAGAAATGAAATGACTTTCATCTGTCCCCTTTCTCCTGCTCCCACTGATATATGTACAGTGACCTTGCCTGTGACAAGGTAGAGACAGAGTTGAGAGTGTATGGTAGTTGAGCACTGGGAGTCAAGATTCCTTTGGAGCAGGACCATGGGCCCGGTGTTTGAAAAGTCCTGGAGGGAGGTGCTGGAAGGATTGACCTGACACAAAGTTCCTCTCAGTCATCTGTGGGTCTCCATACAGTCCCTTCTGCTCACACACCCTGCACTGGAGCTGATATATGTTGTTACTGTGGGTACCATGTCTGGATCAGGGATGTGGCACACAGGTTCCAGGGTCCATCTCCATGCTGATGTCCTGTACGCAGCTCGGATGGGGCAGTGCCCAGCCACCAACAGGAAGCCTGAGACTCAGACACCACAGGTTTCACTTTGTGAACCCAGATAACCTATGTTCCTTAAAGACAGACAGATCTGTACCAGACATCTACCCAGGAGAACAAGAGATGACTCTGGAGGCTGTGGATAAACATGAGCTCTTCCCTTCTCCTCGAGGCTGCCCTGTCCTGGGTGGGAACTTGACAGGAGCACAGGCTTATGCATGCCAGCACCTGCCCCTTCTGCAGAGCATCTGCCCTTGGTGTCTGTCCTCAGAGCCCTTTCACTGATGATTTAGAGTGGGAAATGTTTAGGAGAACTCACAGAGGTGGCCAGGCCTTAATGTACCTGTCCTGTACTTGGTGTCTCTGAGTGGCAAGTGGCCGAGCCTAGAGACACCTATCCTGGGCTCCCTCTTGTCTCTGGTCTCTTGGGAAGCCTATGCTGCCCTTGACATTTGGGCAGTTCCTGGTAAGCATCCTGTAGCATCTCGGCCTGGTGAACCATCCTTTCCTTCATTCCCATGTGGTTTCCCCATGTGGGATCTTGAGGCTGGTGCTTCAAGGCCTTGGAAAGCAGCACAGTATATTCACTGGTCACTCTCTTGAACCAAGTGCCTGTGAAGGTCAGCTGTTGCCAGAACAATGTGCCTGGTGACCAGAGCCTTCAGAGTTCTGTTTAGACCTGTTGCCAAGGAAGTTGTGTCATGTGCTGGGGTCCATAGCTGCCCTGCCCCCTCTGATGCCCCCTTTCTTTTTATTGTGCTCCTTTAAATAGCAAGTGAAAAAGTAGAAAATTGAGTGTGGTTTTACACTTTTCTTCACTTTGAAATTTTTAATACAACAAACATGTAGATGCCTCAGATGTGGCAGGTTGGGTGCCAAGTGCACATTTCCATCCAAAAGTTCTTTTCATTGAGAATTAGGTTTCACTTAGAAATCTGTCAAATTTTAGGATGAGATTCTTTCCTGGCTTCATGTTCCTTTCATTTCAATTCCATTAGAGAGTATAGAGAAGTTCTCAGAATACCCATAATAATTTTCCCAAAGGATGTGAAAGTTTCATGTTATAATCCGCATATGTCCAGGGGAGGATTCCTAGCAAGTTTTACTTTCACAAGCATATGAATGATTACTTATCCTTAGATGTTTAACTCGGCCACACACTGTAGTGCTCTGCACTCTGACATCCTGTGGAGGGGTCAGCAGGTGGTGATTGCAAGGTGTGGCTTTCCAAGGCCGTGGACATCATCACACCATGCTGAGGAAAGACACATGCACATGCCTCCTGGGGAACTGTCCTCCCATCCCAAATAGACCATGGGCTTTGTGTCCCTGCTAGGTAGTTTACCTTTCCTAGAGGTGATGGCCCTGAGGCTGATCAGGCACAATGCTCTTTAGTTGGTCTCCTTCAAGCAGTGTCTCCATGCTGGGATCCCAGTGTGCTGCCACCACATGCCATTGTGGGGCTGAACAAAACTAGGTGTGACTTATTCATGCACCACTCACCCATCTACTGATGGCCATTTCTTCTGTTTCTGTGTCAACCCATGAAAACGATCTGCCATAGCATTCTTATACATGGCCTTGAGTCAATGCAGACTTTTAAAGGAAAACTACTTAAATGTGAAATTACTGGATCATATTGCTGGTTTATGGCTAACTTAGAAATTCTTAAAGTATCATTGCAAGCAGTTGTTTAGCAGCATTAGCTGGTTGCTTTTCATTTTATTTTGATTTGTTTTATTATGGCATACTGTGCTATGCTATGTTATTTTACATTATGTTATATGTTGGTGAGGATTTTGAAACTGTATTTTCTGTGGTCTCTGATTTGATTCTGTATAATCAACCTGAGAAAATGTAAGAATATCACATAACACTTAGTAAGTATTTTTTGTAGAAAATTTAAAAAGGAAGACACAGTCAGCGATGTTGGTACACACTGTCATTACAGTACTCAGAGGTTGAGGCAGGGGGATTGTTGTAAGTTTGAGGTCATCCTCCTCTACAAGGGAAGATCAAGGCCAGCCTCAACTGCATAGCAGAATCCTGTCTCAAACAAAGAACAAAAGAAAGAGAGAAAGGAAGAAGAAGAAAAAAAAAACAATTAAAAATATAAAGTCAAATATTGCCTGTGAATACAGAATAAAAACATATGTGAGTTTTTCTAGCAAGTGTACTTTAGTTAGCACACTTAGTGTAAGGTTTACCATCATGGAGACATTGATGTGTTACCAGGTTTGCATTGTTTCAATTTTTTGAAAGTTTTACTGAGATGACTCTAGATATGCTACTGAATATACCTTCTTAGGATTTGCATAGCTCAGTATGAAGAGAATATGATCATTGCTTTTTATCATCACCAACATTTATATTTAGAATCAGAAGTTGATCAAGGGATTTCTACTTTTTTAAAATAAAAATAAGGACCATATAAAAGATACTCTTTTTATGTCTATGGAAAGATAAAAATAATTGTAGAATAACAGTGGTTAATGTACCTTGCCCAGTGATTTCCAGGATTTCTTAATGATCAATAATTTCATACATTTGTAAGTTTTTTAAAAAGATTTTAAGACATGGTCTCACCAGAGTTTCCCAGGCTAGAGTTAAACCCTTCCTCATCTTTCCTCTCACTCCCAGAGGGCTGGAATTACAGGTGTACATTATCCTGAGTTGACAATTGGCAGTAATTTTGTGTATTCGTGGAATAAAATACTTGGCTTTGATCTTTAGACTCTTTGTAGAAAAATTCATCTAGTTAAGCTATCTCCTACCTTCCTAATCCACAGTTTCTTTCATAGTGAGCAAGACTCAAAATCCTATTAACAATATTAGTAGAGTCACTGCTTTTTAACTGTAACAGTGGTCAGCCTGGGATTCAGGAGATCACTCCAAATGCCTTCTGCTGTGGGACTGAGGCTTGGTATCCTGAAAGCACAGTCTCTTTTTCTCTGATAAACTCATGGCAATTGATGACTGATGTCAAATCCCAAGAAAGATGTGAATGTTAAAGCTACTTGGGGCAGAGAGAATAAAGTCAAGTCCACCCCAAAAAAGTAATAAGAACTTGTAAAAAAGAGAGGGGAAAAGAAAGAGCTCTAATGGATATAACAGCAAGTGTGTTTAGGGGTGTTAAATAGCTGACTATATTAATGTTTTTGGATCATTGAACACAGCTGTTTGCAGTCTCTCTGTTTGAATGTCCACTTTGTATTCTTTGATGCTGTGATTTGAGCAACTATTTCTAAGATGCTAATATGTAATCTATTAACAGGTGATTTCTTACTTTTTTTTTTGTAGTTCTGTATTACGTGTACCCTTACACCGCTTTATTTTGTTTTGTGTTTTTCTCTATTTCCTCTTAAATAAAATTTTTTTAAAAAGCTACTTGGGGCCCACTGCCCTCCAGAAGGTCAGGCCAGGGTAAAATGGTTTTGCCTTCTGCTTCTACTTTCCAAAATTTTTTGTTTTGGTTATGGTTTTGGTTTTACACTTAGTTTCTAGAATTGAATACAGAGGTTTTGTATTTAGTTCCATTACCTTCCACTTTTAAAAGTCTTCCTTCTTTGAAGAGTTTCTTACTATGTTGCTAAGTTGGTGAGTCTCTCCTTGAATTTATAATGTTCCTGTTTTAGTCTTCCATAGTGGTAAGTTTACAAGCCACACCAGCAGATGTGGTTTCATCATGGTGTTCTTAAAAACTCATTGGCTGTGCAGGGAATGGTGAAAATGCCTGTCATGTCAGCATTCGGGCCACTGAGGCAGCAGGATTCCTGGGAGTTCCAGACAAGCCTGCAACACACTCTGATTTCAACTTAGGCCAGGGAGACAGAGGGAGTCCCTGCCCAGAAAAAGAAAAGGAAAATATAGGAAAGGACAGGAATGGAAGGAAGCTACAATACCAAATTCCTGGTGATTCTATGAGTTCTTTTGTATCTGGGTTAGTCATTTTAATCTGTGGTCCTATTGCAGTATAAAACCTTTTGGACTGCTGTCACTTTAAAATATACCTTGACACCAGGGATTTTGGTACTTCTAAGTTTAATGTTCTTTACATGGCTAGAGGATGTTGTACTTCTTTGTGAATTTTCATATTGATTTTTTTCAATTTCTAGGAAAATATCAGTGGTATTTTGACAGGAAAGCTTTGAAATGGCTGGTTGCTCTGGGATGCACAAATATTACAACAACATGAATTCTTCCTATCCACCATCATGCTATGTGTTTTCTTCTGTTAGTGCTATTTCACTGATTGCATCAATTTATACAAGTTTTAAACAACAGGTGAGTTTCATTAAATTTATCCTCAGTGTTAATTCTATTTGATGAATTATGAAGTGAATTGTGTTCTTTGTATTTGAGGCCTCAGTTTGTTTGAAGCACATAGATATGAATTGTTTAAGACATGTGGATCTTGTACCCTGCACCCTATATGATTTGTGAATTTGTTCTAAAAGGTTTTCAGAGAGATGTAAGTTTCTTATATGAAAGGTTGTGTCCTCAGGAAACAGAGACCATGCTTAATTCTTCCTTTCTGGTATGGAACCCTTGATTTCTTATTCTTGAGTAAATTCTAGGGATAGAACTTGGAGTACTGTGTTGAAAGGCATTGCAAGCCTTGTCTGGTTCCTGATCTCAGAAGAAAATTTTGCAGCTTGTCAGCCTCTGAGCACAATGTCTTGGATGGGCTTCTCATGCATCATCTTTGATATGCTGAGTTCCACTCTTCCAATACATGGTGTGTGGGTAGTTCTTTCAATGAGAAAATGTTGAAAATCAGTATTTTTCAAAGCTATTTTTCGAAATCTATTGAGAGGTTACTTCTGTCTCATTCTGTGAGAGTGACAAGTGACACTGAATGGTTTTTACAGTGTGACAGTTCTTGCATCACTGAGATTGAGCCGAGTGTTGATGGTGGTGCTTAACTTTTGCATGTGCTGGCAAACTTAGCTGACAAGTATTTAGCTGAATAATTTTGCTTATGTTCATTAGGAATATTTGTCAGTAGGGTGCTTTCATTTATTTTATTTTATTTTTCAATACATTACTGTCTGGCTTCATTCTCAGGGTGACTTTGTCATCTAAAAGTTGGTGTTGGATTTTTCCCTTCAATTTCCTGGGAGAATCCAAAAATGATTATTATTTATTTTTTATCATACACTTGAAAAAATTCATTGGGTCATTTGCCTTATCCTGGTTTTGTTGTTGTTGTTATTAATGAGTTTTGATTGTTGACCCATCGCCTATATTAATTTTTGCTCTGTTCATCAGTGTGTTTGTTCCTTTTGGGTGTGGGTCAGTGACACCAAAAGAGACCACATTCCCATTAAGGGTTACATCTCATTTTACTTAGGGATGCAGCCATTTACTTTTGTATTTTATATATTTTTGTCAGTAACTCCTTTCAGTTACTTAGTCTTTAATGCACACTGTTCTTGTCAGGAGTTTACTGCTGCAGGAAACTGGAGCTGGTCAGGTGCCCGTATCTTATTTCAGGCTTCATACTCTGGCCTGCCTGCAGTGTCCCCATCTCCTGATTTGCTCCCTGTAAACACCTGTCCTGCTCCATAGCTGTGGTGAGTCCACATGCGGCAGTTGAAATCTGCACCTGGGTGGAAGACATTCTGTCAAGGTGGGCTCTGTAACAGGCTGACCTTCTCGTACAGTGCTTCCCTGAGTCAGCCAAGGGGCCTAGGGCCTTCAGGAAGGAGATCTGGGAGCAGGGCCACACCAGCCCTCTTCTGTCCAGTATGCAGTGTATGCTGTTTTGCTGGAAGCTGACTTGTGGATCAGGAGGCCTGGACATGGGCCTTTCTTGCCCCTGGTGCCACGGTGTCCTCTACATCTGCCTGGGCCATTTTCCACTCACATCAGATCTCCACAGGGATCTGAGCACCCCCTAGACTTGCTCTTCCAGGCTCCAACTCAATGTGGAGACTTTAGGTGTGAAATCTGTCACTATGAAATTCAATATGTATACATTTTTCCTAGAACGCCCAGTGCTAAGTCTTCATAACAAAAAGTGAGATTTACAGTTTCCCATATTCTATTCTTACTCAGTTAAGGTGTGAAAAGTTAGAAGCCAGGAACCTACGACAGCAAAGCTGCTGAGTGAATTATAAACTTACAGGACTGAAAATGCTGAAAGAAGGCCATGCCCTAGGCCATGTCCCCAGTCTTACTTGAGATAACAGGAGCTTGCGGCCTCGCCGTCTCTCCACCCAGCAGTGAAGAGACACAGGCCAGCACAGCAGGCGAGGACAGGAGAGAGGAGCTGGTCAGTGGCAGACCACTCATCCTCGGAGGGATGGTTTTGTGGTTTTTCAATTTTTAATTTCCATTGAATTATTGCTATTGTCCAACTCACTATTTTTTCTCTTGTACCCAACCTAGTTAAGAAAAAGATAGTATGTAATTTCTCAAACAGATGAGTGAAAATGGATGACTTAATTTTCATTTATGTAAAATGAAGGATATGCCCAGTACAGAAACTTCAAACATCACCTTATAGATATATAAAATAAGGAGTTTTGTTATTCAGAAAAACAACACATCATTTATGACTAATTTTTAAAACCTTAACACATGCGGAGCCCTTCCATGGTGGGGTGGCGCTGCCCTCCTACCCTAGAAAGCACTGGTTCACCTGTGCCAATAACTCTGAGGACAACAAGAGTTTTTCTTCAGAGTCTCTTTTACCAGCGAGGAGGACCTGAATCTTCCTGCTGCCAGGCTGAACACGGAGTGTGCAGTGTGCAGAGGAGCCCAGCACCGCCTGCTTTACACTCCTCTCCCCCACCACATCCATGCTGCAGCCCTGCAGGGACAGCAAGGCAGAGCTGCCAGGATGCAGCCAAGACTCTGCCACATCAGTCCTAAGTCCGCCTCCACCAGGTGCCTGATACTGCCTGGGTGTTGCTCGCATATTGGGTCTACACACCCTCAGCCTCCTAGCCCAAGTGCATTTACCACAGTGACCCTTCCAGTCTGCAAATTTCACTCCTTTCCTTTCTGACTATGGCTGCAGCATTGGAACAAACATAGCATTAACATTACCTTCTCTTCTTCTTTGTTCTATTTCATTTTTGGGTTTTTTTTTTATTTATTTAACCATATATTTAAAACTGTATTTTGCCAAAAAAGCTTTTCTTTTGTTTTTACTCTCCACTTGCCTGAGGTTTTACAGATTTCTACTGCAGTTCAAACCTTAAGTTCTTGGATGCTCAGAATCTACTCTGCAGCTTGGTAGAATGAGTGAAGCGAAGCAGAAAGTGAACTTGGGCACATTTCTGTGCCTTCCAGCATCTTGTACAGCAAACCCTGACTCATGTCTTTCTATCCCCAAAATATGGGCTTCAGTAGATTCAGTAGCTTGAATCTGCCACTGCAAAATGTGTTTCCTAGATTTTTCCAAATAATGTCATTTCTCCCTAACTGGCTTAGCACATTGTCTAAGGTTTTTTATGCCCAAACTTGAAAAATAATTTCCAGTAGACAAGAGGCTGCCACCCATCCTGAAATCACGACGGGATTTTATGTAAACACATAGTGCAATCCGTAGTCTGAGAGCATGGTGCCAGGGCAGGGTTCTCTCCAGCAACCGTGCACAGCATGCTCCACACACTCTCCTACTTCCACCTTACCCGTGGTCTGTGACTTGTGGGAGTGGCCACCCTGACACCTCACTGTAGGAGTACTGAGGCTGGTAGACATTCCCAGAGCTGCTAATGACACAATCTTCAAGTTCTCTTCCTTTCCAGAAGAAGAGGAGACACTGTCTCTCCCCTGTGTCAACGCCATTATCTCAGTGACTGTATTCAGCTTAAGTCCTCATATTTCTACACTGAAGGATTTTTAATTAGGGGAATCTACAGCAAGACCATTCATATCTGTGGAGCAGCTGAGTGGTACACGGCTTCCCACCTTTCCTACAGAACTAGCCAATGTCCAAACAGCTGACATGTAAATACTTTTTAAAAATTTATCATGGTTCTATTATTCATGTCTCTGGTGGCTCCTTTTTCAGAAACTCTTCTCACCTGGTAGTTGTGTTGTTTTCTTTTAACTGCAGAAAAAAAGCAGAGACATAGTGGCCCTGTAGGGATACTGTGATCCCCTCTCCCACAGCTGAGCCCTGGTCTTCTTCCAACCCAGCCTTGTACTCTGTGCTGCGTCCCCACCCTCCCCCGTACACACTGGGAAGTGGTGGCATCTCTCTTTGATTTAAGTAAGGAGTCTCAGGTGACATTTTTTTCAACTGAGGTTAAACCCCGTTTCCCCCTTTATATGAACCTCCCTTCCCTTCCCTCACCCTTCTGTGTTCTGAGTATGCTAATGACAAGCCCATGGATGACTCTGCTACTGGAGAACTATTTGTATGTCAGTAATATATTCTCTCTTATTGTAAATGCCATATTTAGAAAAAGAAAAAAGAGAATCTTGGTATATTTATCTACTTCTCCTGGTTCCTGTTACTTCCCGGTGCCAGTTTCCCACCTAAATATGTCATTGTACAATAAAGAACTTTGAGAGTAAAACCAAGAAGAGTGTTCACATTTTCCATCCTCTGCAGCTCCACTTCATTAAGTGATGGGCAAGTCTCCCAGGCTCTGTGTCACTCTCATCTGTCACTCTGCCTCACACACATCTCTGTGTGTATGCACATTGACGTCAGAGATATTTCATTGTAAAAACTGAGACCTTCCTCACACACATCCATCTTGCATCCATGGTTATTTCATGACCAGATTCCTTGGCCTCTTTCCCTGTGGGCACAGAGAGACTGAGCTCAGCATCCCTGCAGCTTCCCCTGGTTCCCATGGCCCACACTGGTGCCCACACCATCTACCTGCAGGGTAGGGAGGGTCCCAGTTCCTTTCTGCTTCTAACAGTGCTGTGAACAACAACCTTGAAAGGAAAGTTAAGAAGTTATGCAGCTTTTTTCTTTATTTTTGTGTGTTGTTGTGTAGCTCTCTGTGTGGAAGAAACCTCTATGCTTAGCTAAACGAGGTCCAGGGACCTGTGTAGAGGTCTGATGGGAGCTGAGGGAAAGGGCTCTGCTCTGCCCTTCCATTTTCTCCTCACTGCTCTTCCCCACCTGCCTTAAAATCTGAAGTCAAATGGGGACACAGCACATCTCAATGACATGTCCTTGAATGTATCTGCAGTGGGATACTGTGTATTTTATACACTTGTTGGTCATATGAGCAGATTCCCTTTTGAATCGCAAGAGTTTGTCTCATATCTCACAAAACAAATGGAAAGGTAATTCCAACCCCAAAGAT